CGCTGGTGCATTAATGGGAAACCCTAAATGTTTGAGCACCCTCTATGAAACGTCAAGCTACCCCACAGCACCCCCTAGAGAAAATCTCTGGCGCCGCCACTGTGTGTACTTGGAAAGCGCCTCGAGGTGTGGGCGGAGTGGCGCAGTGGGCTGTGCGTTGATCATCAGATCAAGGAGGCCCACCTCCGCCGCCGCTGTGTCTGTAAAGCCGTTGTGTCCTTGGGCAAGACAATTCACCTGAATTTGCTCCTGTGGGTATTGAGCATCTGGAAAAGCGCTTTAATAATAAATGTAAGGAATTATTATTATTAGATTGACTGTATTTCTGATCATTATGCAGTAAATCAAAAAACAGTGAAGTGTATGTTTTAGTGACAAGAAAATGAGCGTATTACTCAAATATCAGTGGCATTTATGGCAGGGGGAGGCATTATAAAGGTGCAGAGCAAATAATTAGAATCACTGATATGGCCCACCGCCTAACATTATCAATTTGCATATGCATATGCACCATCTGTCTGCAGAGTTGCCCTTTCAAAATACCATGAAAGGTCAGATAGCAATAAGTCAAAGTGCCTCCATGCTTGGCGAGAGTGCCTGATTTAGCACACGTATGCATCGTCGGGGCTTAAAACAGTGAACATATCACAGAAATGTATCTTGATCATTCGGTCCTTCTGTGTTTGCTTATCATTTAATGTGTGCACAGTGTGGGTAATTTAATGTACAGCACTTTAAGTTGCAAAGAGGATGTCGGAGTTCAGGGCGGTATCTGACACTTGTTGATGCTTTCTGTTTTTATATTATTGTTTTTATTTACAGGGTTCCTATGAACCCAGCAGATCAATGTCTGATGACTCACGACAACTCAAACTGACGGCCTGGCTCCTTGAAATTATTTTGATGCCCAAATATTGCTCCTGAATATTGTTAAAATGACTTATAACTGTGATTAATAACCTATTAACTTTATGAAATGATTTTCATTGGGTCTTGTACCATATGTCTTATAACACTTCAAGATCTCAGGACTTTTTGTCTGAGATTTACAGTGGCATCAGAATAACGGAAAATGTATCTCAAATATCAGAACTGATCCTCTAAATCTCTTTATTTGATTCCAAAACCTTAAAGTTTTCCTCTTTTGATTACATTACTTTGAGGAGGAAGAAACTGATTTCACAGATAGATCACATGAAAACGCGTGTTCTTAGTGGCCTGATCGGTGATTCATGGCTGTCACAGTGATAACTTATTTGACACTTTTTCAACTTAAAAGATTCACACTTTATTTTCTGATCGTAGCTCTGCTATATGTATTGCATAAAGTAAGAACTGTCTTCTCATAAAGAATTACAGCAGAATATATAACCACTGTACAGCCTTGCTTTTTTCACAAATGTGCTGTTTATACAATTAATTTTGACAGCTTTATCTTTGCCCTCACTGCCTGCAGTCTTACCTCAGAGTATAGGTTTATATTTATTGTTTCTCAGCCTCTCTATTACTGTCTGTCTCCTCCAGAGCAGAAGTGTCTTCATCATTGGTTGAATGGCTGAGGTAATGGATTACACTTGGAGAGCCAAAATTGGTTTATTTCTCTAATGTTGGCATTTTCCCCTCCTCCTTTCAGCCCTTTACTGATATTTCACAGCTTTTTGCATTATCGGAGGCACTATTCCATAGCCTTTACAACATTCAAAACAGAGTTAGAGCACAAAAGATGTTTATTATAATTCCAAGGCCTGCGCCGTGTTCCTTTCTCTCTAACTTCTTTGTGTGTGTCTGTGTGTGTGTTTTTGTGCGTGCGTGCATTTGTGCGTGCGTGTTATTACAGAAATGACGTGTTTAATCACACTCTCAAAATATGGCTATATCATTTTTATTTCTGATTATTGCAATATATCTTTGGTATTAATAAACTAATACATTGACCTAATCATGTTGAATAGTTTGTCAAGAATCTATATGTAAATGTGCTTGTGATAATCGTACCCTTTTTCCAAATGTATTGTTACATGGACAAACAGCTCCAGCAAGTCACATACAGCGACATATGGTGAGGTAAAGCAGATTCAGATTGTTTTGCAATCTTTTTCTGAAGACCGTGTCATTGTGTTGAGACAGCTCATCAGATCCCCATCTAGAAATAGTCTCCGCACAGAGCAGACCTGTTTGTCCTTTCACGTTCCACAGAGTGTCAGAAGATGAGACAGTATTGGAAATGTTCCATTCCCCTCTGTGACAGGCAGGATAATTGGCTTTCAGTCACATTTAGTCCACTGGAGAAGCGGGTTTTCATAAAGTGCTGTATAACACCAAAGTTGGGAGTGTGGGGGATCATGTGTGTGAAGGAAAATGTGACATAGCCCTTTGGTTCACACAGGTAGAAAAACTGGTTTACTGAGACAAGTAAGAGAAAGTACATTAAACTAAATGTGCGTGAAAGTCATTTTACATAACTATAATATGACTCTCATTTCCCTAGTGTGTCTATTTTACTGTAATATATGTCCCATTGGTGGCGACCAGTTTGTTGTTGGTGGATGTTGGTTTCCAGGCTGGATATTTTAATGGTTGGTGCTGAATGAGTCCGAAAAATATGTGTTCTGACCAATGAATGTCCTAAGGGGGTTGTATGTTAATAGTTTCAACCCTGCGGTTATTATTTTGAGAGCCAGTCCTACAATGTCATTGAAAAATGTCCAAGCCCAAGTCATCTCGTAGTCTCTCAGCATATAAGGGGATGTAGCATAGGTTGCAATGTTTGCCTTGCCCATTTTTCACATCTCCACTCAATAAGAACGAAGTTGCTCTTTCAAGCCATATGTGTTTTCATGGAAACTTTCCTTGCCCTCTCTGATTTGCCTCTCTTGTCACCTCTGTTGCTCCCCTCCCCTTTATGACTTCAATCATCTCTGTGACTGATGGCGCTAAAACACACTTTTTTTAAATGTTAATCTCATAATCATTTTCATCTGACAACACACAAGCTGTGATATCTTTTAGCCAGCAGTGATTTATTCATGGCTGAAGTAGAATTGCTCCTCAGCGTGGCTCATTTCCCTGAGTCTCCTGGGATGTCATATAACGCTCAACTTGTCACACCAGCTTTGAGAGGGAGAGAGACAGAGAGAGGTGCAGGGACAACTTTGAATACATTGAGAGACCACTTTACATGTTATTGCCTCTTAGAGGCATTTCCCTGATAATATAAACCTCTAAATTGCAAAGTGAAAAACCTGGTAATGTTTCTGCGCTCCATCATCCACCACTTTTAAAGTCAATCAGTCAGTACACAATCAGTATTCCCCTCCACTCGTGACATACATGGGTGAGAAGGCTATTACGTTTCCACAGTCTCCTGTCAAAGATACCCATTAAATAGTCTTTATTGAGCCCAGGTCCATTACCAACAGAAAAGGTAATCCAATTGTTGTTACTCCTTTAGTATTTTTTCATAGTGTCCTCTCTCCATCTTCTCTCAGCTATTAGGCGAGCATGATGAGGCAGAGAGTGTGCACATGAGAGCAAATATCACATTAGACCAATGACAACAAACAAAGAGCATCATTAGGAGACCTGCATAATAAAAACGGCTTCACATTTAAGTGGACCTTTAAAGCTTTTCTTCGCTCTCTGGGTTTGCTGACTGGCCGCCTCCCCAAATGAACTCTAATCATAATGTGGCCAGTTCAGTCTGCTATAACAGCCTCTCGTGATTTCAGAAGAGTACAATATACAATATTGGGACTTGACTTCAGGGATTTATTCCCTTTCAGCCTCTGGAGCATTAATGAGATTGGACACTGGTGCTGGATGTTGAAGTAGCGATTCCATTTAATCCCAAATTATGTTAGAGCTCTTACCAGACCCATATTTCTTCCACACAAAGGATGTTAGCCTATATCAATGGTCTAAAATACAACTATATGCAGTAGCTTTAAGATTAGGATTAGGCCAATGGTGGGGAATAAAGTAGGGCCTATGATTTACTGAAAATAGTTGTATAACAACTTTCTCCACTAGAGGGAGCTTTATCAAGAATACCATAGCCTTTGGTATGTTTAGTTATTTTGATACTATGAATATTTTTCTTATAAATATTTGACGAACGTTTTACACTCTAAATGGCAATGGACATTTGAACAACGTAGGCCTACATTTTTCAGATTGGCATAGTTAAATGGCAAACTCTTGCTATTCACTATCTGAATTGGAAGATCCATTATTATTATTATAAATTGTAAGAGCCAGTGTTTTTGAAACTAGACTATTAGAGACTAACAATTATACAGCCTTATCTGTTAATGTCTTAAATGCTCCCTCCTTTATAGAATTACAATTGTCCTTTTTTAAAGTTTTATTTATAGCATTCTTATTTGTGAATATCTATCTCCCTCGCGTGGTTATAGGTGGAATCACGTGGCGATGTCAACAGCTTGTTCTTATCTTGTTGATCACACATCCCCCATTCACTAAAGTTATGTTCAAGTATTTTAAATGCTAAACAATTATCTGTAATTACCCTTTTTAATTTTGTAGCACTTTGAGTTTTGTTTACGCAAATGAAAAGTGCGCTTATAAATAAAATATATTATTATTATTATTATTATTATCTGTATGACATAAATAAGTACTATGTTGATGTTGTATCCGCAGCCTGGCCCAAAGAGCCGTCTTCATAGTTCAGATTCCGACTTGAATGTGGATTTACTGTTCATAGCCTACGATTAGGTCGATGTATCAAACTAGTCGAGTTGTAAAATCCTTGAAAGATTTCCAATAAACTGTCTCTGAAAATCACAACTCTGCTGTATAGTTAGACGCCGCTTCAACCGTCGGCGATGCCACATTTAACTCCCTTTCAAGTTGAAAACATTACACCGTCGGTGTTACAGGAAGAGACGCTAAAAGGTAGACGGTTCTTTCAGCCAATGGAATGGCATAATTTCCCCACTAAGCCCGCCTCCATACAAAATTGTCCAATCATCGTGCGCGACAGGAACTTCCGCCACGGAGACGGAGCATTTCCATTGTACGAGCTGTTCTGAAAGAGTCCCGCGATTGTTGAGCTACAGTATCTTAAGTGCGTGGTTTCTTCAAAGTTGTAACATTAGACGTAGCCGATTGTCGTCTTTTAGCTTAAAATCGTATGAGATTGTTGTCGCATACGAATCGTCCGGAGGGTAACGGGCTGTTACTGGGAAGAAGTGCGACGGTCTCACCATAGGAATTTGTTAGCGGCAGCTCAGCCACCTTGCGGTCCGGCTAACACCGTGGCTAGGTAACGTTAGCTGCAGCTCTGTTGTGGCGTGAATCTGACGGAAATCTGTAAGAATATGTCCTCAACCGGAGGCTGTTACGCTTCGACATAAGGGACTAGAGTGCACAAATAAACAACAAACTGTTAGTCCTCGAACTAGCCACTTAGCCAAGCTAACTAGCTAGCTAACGTTAACGCTACGGGATTGTCTTTGACAAAAGGGCAACCCGTCAACAAGAGACTTTGTAGCCAAACTAACGCGTTTTCCCCTATTTTTTAATTTATTGAGCTTTTGCACGAAGAGCATTACAACAGCACAGGATGAATGGATTTAGCACTGAGGAAGACAGCCACGATGGACCTCCGGCTCCGCCGTTTTATGGACAGAGCTGCTGTCTGATCGAGGACGGAGAGCGCTGCGGCCGGTCAGCTGGAAACGCCTCCTTCAGCAAGAGGATCCAGAAGAGCATATCACAAAAGAAGCTCAAGCTTGACATTGACAAGAGCGTAAGTTAAATAACATGATCTTTGTTTTGAAGTTTAAACCAGTGATTGTGAGTGCCAGACGATAGCTCAAAGTTAGCTAGCTCTCAGCTGTCAGCTAATGCTATGTAGCCTGTCGGCGACGGTTGACGAAAATAAACAAAAGAGCACCGTCATAGAGTTGTATCTTGTTGCTGTATCTGTTTTCACACCTATAACAAGTCAGGCTTACGTTTACTGTGCTAGCTGCCTGGACGACGTGCAGGACAACAGGTTCCTGTCCACAACTTCCAGCTCATTACAACGGTTTCATACAAGACGCCTCCGCAGCTCTTCATAAAATGGCTGTTGCCAGAGAAGCCAGAGCTCTGTTTAACCTCAGTCTGTTAAAGTACCCTGCCTTATTTTGGAGTGGCATAAACTATTGTTCTGCTCGAAAGAACACCAAAACATGCTCCACGTTAATTTAGCTTCTTTTTTCTAGTTTTTCATTTTGGCTTACTTTTGACAAACAACCAATGTTGGGCAAACGTGTTCTGGTCTTCCTTGAACCCAGTGAAAGACACATGTGGAGCTAATTGTCAGACACACAACCAAGGCTGGATCACCAACCAAGCAAATGTCCCAAAGGCCCCAGACCTCAAGGGGCCTCATAGACCTGGTCTTCTCTGTGTTGTAATTTGATCTATAGCGAAGCTGTTTAGGATTATGCTCCACTGAATTTGTCACAAATCTGCAGACGAGATCTCTTACAGCTTCCTATAACCCAAAGTGACATCTTGAAATATATTTGTCAATGTTTGTTTGGCCAAAAGTGATCGTATGTACAAAGCATTACATTGGAGAAGATGCACCAAAACATTTTTTTATAATAATTGTCAACTACTTAGTTAATGGACTAATAGTCTCAGTTTTACAATCTAGCCGTTCTTTATTTCAGTACTAAGCTTACATGGTGTAATATCGTTGTACACAGTATCTTTAATTAACTCAGCAAAAAGCAAACGCAGCAAGCCCGGGGGTGGGTCGTTTTCCTGTCATGTGTAAGCTGCTCTGTGCCCTCAACCTGGGGAGTACTGAGGCGGCAGTGGATGCATAAAGAGTGCCCCCAAGCACAGAGCAATGTGGCCCAGAAAAGTGTTGCTGTTGTAAACCATTCTTATTTAATTCATTGTATCCAGGGGGATTTGTTATTAGTGTGTGTTGCTGTTGTTGTCCCAAATGTTTTTTTACAGGCGTGCCAAACTCATGTGATTAGTCAGGTGTTGTGGCTGTGGCTCAGGGAATACATGCACATTGGTCAAGAGGACAGAGTACATGGTTCATTTGGAGCTGCAGTGCAGTTGAAGAAGCACATGCCAATATAAACAAACTTTAGTTCAGATATTGACATAACAGACCATTTGTAGTTATGGTTGGGTATCAAATCTCAACACTATGTCTATTTTAAGATGCTTGTCAAAATCCTTCATTACATACTTCTTGTTTAAAACCATGTATTTGCCAGTTTTTATAATAGTTTATCTTGGATATGTTCTTGTGTGGCTGCTCGGATATTGTATTAAGACTGGTATTATAGAATTTCAAATGAAAGCAAATCTAGTCTTGCAGTGGGTATTGCTTTGGTCCTATGCTGTGTTACTGCTAGAGCAAACATATGTTTTGATGTTGGACTCCTCCTTTAATACTCGTTATTATCGTTATAGGTGAGACACCTCTACATCTGCGACTTCCATAAGAACTTCATCCAGAGCGTCCGCAACAAGAGGAAGAGGAAGACCAGTGACGATGGAGGGGAATCCCCGGATCACGACGTGGAGGTGCCCGAGGTAACGGGACTGAAATCTTTCTTGCAATGTTCCACACAAACAACACAGATGAAGCACAATGGAAAAAGAAGCAGTCCCAAAGGCTTTACAGAGGAACATAGCAAACTAGGATGATAGTTTATATAAAACCTTAAAAACACCAACTCATGGTGACATTTTTGTTACAATATGCTTGCCTAACAACAACAAATTTAATTAATTGTGTACTCAGTTATGTTTGTTTGCTTTTGAGTGTTTATTACTGCAATGACCCAGTTTCTCCACAGAGATATTAACGTTTCATCGCTTTTAAAAGGAGAGAAAGAGGCAGCAAAAGCCTCATAGAGTCTTAACCTGTGGCGGGGGCCTCCAGGCTTTTTTTTTAACGAAACTGTGTCTCAGGGCTTCTTAACATTTAAAAACCTATTAATGTGTCATACCCATTTAACGGTAAGAAACTCAGCTAACTGACAATACGAAAAAAAATTGCCGAAACAAAACACAAGTCTCACATGAAGCGTCTAAATGAGCCCTGAGCGAAGAAATGCTAACACACTTAGCACAGAACTCTAGGTATAAATTCCCTTATTACATATAGGATCTGCACAAACAAGATATTGATTAGCAAGCTGAGATTCCACAGATTCTAGGGGTATAAGTATCACCACTGAGCGATCAGAACTCGTGACAGGGGAAGCAAAAACAGACATCACAACACGGAGCTTTACGGAGCAAAAACGGGACATTGTCTTACCTATGCTGTTCTGTTAAAAAGTTGTGTTCAATGGCATTAAAACAATAAAAACGCTGCTGAAGGTTAATCCATAAGTTAATGTGTCGGAAATGATTACTGATAATCCATCTTCATATTTATGTCAATAATGGAGTTTTCATATATAGCTGCTATGATAGCTACCAGAGTGTATGACAGCTTCCGGTTTAGGGCATTCTCATTGACCAATGGGTAATGTTTAGATGGATTTTAGGAACTTCCCCTTGATTCTATTGGCTCTAACGGTTAAAAAGAGGTGTCAATCATCAAAGTCGATCGAGGGGGGCCAGAAGCAGAGATATGGAAAATCCACCCAAATGACCCCAGAAGTGTTTTTTTTTCTTCTAAACCTCTCTAAAAAGGTCAAATGTCACTTGTTTTGTTTTAAATGTTTGGATTCCTAAAGCTTTTAGTCTACTATCCCATCATTCAAGGGTGGTTTTCACTATAAGTAATGTTTTTTTTTTGGAGGGACACTATAACTTATATATTTTTTTTACAAGGTTCAATCTGAATTTACTTTAAACATTTAAAAAAATCTATATTGATTCTGACTTTTCTACATCCAACTCACAGGTTTATCATTGCTTTGAGGACAAATATTATTAGTTTAACCCTTTTAGAAATGAAGTTATAGTCATATGTTCTGGGAATGTCATTTTCTAGCCTGAGACCTGAAAAGTAGGCTCAGTGCTTAACAGGTTAAGTAAATCATTGAAATGTGTCAAAGATTAAGCGGACTGAAAAGATACCGTCCCTCAAATTTCACTGACTGACTGCCTCCCTGTCTCTGCTGTGGTTTCAGGTGGACCTGTTCCAGCTGCAAGTGAACACGTTGAGACGCTACAAGCGACACTACAAGCTGCAGACCCGGCCTGGACTCAACAAGGCCCAGCTGGCAGAGGTAAGAAAACACTCAGAACTGAATGAATGTTAAGATATTCTCCACTACATGTATGGTGCTTCCTACTTTGTACAGTTCAAGGGGTTGCTGTGTTCTCCACGATGTGAATGCTGCATATTAGCCCCTTTTCATCAGTTACCATTTTAAAAAAAAGCTGGAAAGTGTAACAAGGGTAGAACTCTAAAGGTTTAAGAACTCAGGTCAACTCTGGTTTTGGTTTATGATAAAAGCAGAGTAATATTTTGTTATGTGATAGAGAAAAGAGAAGGGCAGAGAAAAACAAAGAGAGAGAAAGGACTTTATTTCTGTTTTCATTCAATCATATATTTGAAATAAACATCCATAAACAGCAGGGGTGTAACGGTTCACAGAATTCACAGTTCGGTATGTACCTCGGTTTGGGGGTCACGGTTCAGGTTCGGTACAACAAGAAAAAGAAAAAAGAAAGTCCCAAATGCATAATTCCAGTTTAGTTTTTTATTTATTTTGTACATTAGTGCAAGTTTCAGTTTAAAAATAAGGACCTCTAACATTTTGAATAATTAACTGTATTACGTCAGTGAAAAACAAACAGTACCACACACTAGGGCTGTGCAATTAATCGTATTTTAATCGCGATTACGGCTTGCGACGATTATGAAAACAGCATAATTGACAAAATACGATTATTTTGCTGGGTGCGCTTTCGCCCCTCCCTAAAAGCCCACTCGGCCACGTGGGAGTGACATGTGTTGTGAGTGTTCAGCGCGAGCGAAGATGTCAGAACAAGAGCAGCAACTCGTTAAAAGAAGGGTCAAACTATTTCCACTATTTGCAAGTACTTTGGCTTTCAGGAGTCCGACGTGGAGCAAAATAAAGTACAGTGCAGGATTTGTTACCAGGTTGTGTTGGCACCACACGCTAACACAACCAATCTCTTTAATCATCTGAAATACAACCACAAAGTACAATACGACCGGGCAGTAATACAACAAAAAGCAGATGCCCGCTCGACTTCATCCACCACATCATCACAGTCATCGATTCAGGACGCATTGTACAGAGCAACGGCCTACGCGACGAGCTCGCAGAGACACAGAGATATTACAGGTGCCATTACATTTCACATCGCTAAAGATATGTGCCCAGTTAGCACTGTTAGCAACCAGGGCTTTAAGCAACTTGTCAACACGTTGGACAAGCGTTACGCGATGCCGTCTCGGTATTATTTCAGCAGGTCTGCGCTGCCTGCACTATATGACAAATGCCGTGGGGAAGTTGAGAGAGATGTGGCTTCAGCTGACTACTTTGCTACCACAACAGACCTATGGTCTAGCCCAGGGGTGCCCAACCAGTCGATCGCGAGATGTGTCTAAAAATAGAACAACAATATTCTGTTTTATGTCCTGTAACATAATCTTCCTGTGCCAGAATAATGCACTTGAACGCATCAAAGCTTTGTGATTGGCCGGCGTCACCCCATGTGTCGGGGCGTGGCTAAGGGTCTTCAGTACAGGTGGCAATATTGTCACCTGCCTGCGCTCATCTCTGAAACCAGACCATGTAAACAGGCTGGTGTTTCTAGCAAAACATCTTTAAGAGATGACATGAGCAGTCCTACCAGCATTTGCCATGGTGGCCTAAACATTTTTATTTGGTCTTAAATTGTAGTTCAACATTTATTTCCTGTTACTTCTGGACCATGACGGTTGGCCAGCCTTCAACGTTTAACTGAGTGGAATATGTTGAATATGTTTTACCAAAATGTTGGCTATATGTTAAGGAGTTTTCAGTAGGTTGTGCAGTGCACTGCATCATATTTGATTTCATTTATTTTGGTCTAATTTATTTTTATTTATCATATTAATAATATATGTTTAGTATGGTTTTGGAAGTGCGCTCCAACATATTTGTTGATCTTGTTTATTGGTAAAATATTATTTGTTTTAAAGTTCAATAAATGGTCAATGAATAATCGTCAAAATAATCGTGATATCAATTATTGACCCAAATAATCGTGATTATGATTTTTGCCATAATCGCACAGCCCTACCACACACACTCAGATGGCCATATTATCTATAATGGCTGATGTCAAACAAAAAGGTTCAATAAGCTGTAAAACTAAAAAGAATGTCATGAAAATATTACAAAATAAATAATAAGATAGTGTTTCAATCACAATCAATAAAGGCCGGGGTTCTCTACTATTGCATAAGGGTGCAGCATAGCCGTTGAAAAACATATGCCAAAAGCTTCCGTTATTTATTTTTGGTCTCTCGGCTTTCATGTCTATTGGCATCGTAAAAGCAGCGGGGATGAGCTGTTGAACTGCTGTCTTTTGCAGGGCTCCGTTGATTGGCAAATCTGGGTGATGCCTTCTGATATGATTTTGCATGTTTGGCGTGTGTTACTATTAGCATTCCGCACCGCTGTCGAACAACGCCGACACACCGTCCTCGTCCGATCCACCACTCGCACTCCATCGTTATTGTAGTCCACAGGGAACCCGACGGTACGGGACGAATACGGATACCGTTACACCCCTAATAAACAGTCAACAGATTGTCCCGATTGTGGGACAGTTGCGCATGGAGGACATCTTTATTTCTGAAACTAGAAATGCCCTGCCTCTAGCAGCAGCAGACTATTGGCTTAGGTTGCATTCACACCTAATAGTAGGTACATTATTTCATTTTTCAGAAGGTTTGGTTTGCTTTCACACAGGCAAACCTCAAACAGATTATAAACAGTCTGTCACAAAAGCAAATATAGCATAGCTTATGTTTATAGTTGGGCTCACTATGGGTCTTGTGTTCAAGATATTGTGGAGTTTGTCATACCAAATACAATTGTCTTTAATATCGGGGGAGCTGTCACTTTTCTGCAGCGAGTTGCTCACTCGTGTATTGGTGACAGATAGGGGTGCAACAACTAATCGACTTAATCGATTAAAATCGATTACCAAATTAGTTGCCAACTAATTCGGTCGTCGATTCATTGGTGACGTCATCACGTGTGTTTTACGCGCCGTTAAGCTCCAACGTTATTGATCGGTACTGGAGACATTTAAAAAATAGCATTATATCGCTGTCTTATACCTCATTCACACCAACGCAACTCCGGTTCAAGCTCCGTGCTAGAGCTTTTCATGTTCAGAACCGGTTCTTCGGTTTAGCTCCGGCTCTTTCCACACCGCCCAGAGTCCGACTGGTGCTGCGTCATTGCCTCATCGTTTGCGTCATGACGTAACCGTTTGCGTGCCTGCTTCATAAAGCCAAACCTCTCGCGGAAACCCCTCACAGCTGACACCGACAACAACAACAATGGCCGATTGTGCTCCAGCTTCCTCTGTACCTCTTCGGAAGACCAGATTCCCGGCAGGTAGCTGGTCTCTTCAGTGGACCACTGCTGCTTGTTAAGTTTCTCCATCGTTGTGTACAAACTGGATAAAACGCGGGCTTTTTGTTGTTGTTCAGGAGTTGATCTGTCTCTGCCCCCGCTTCGACGTAAGCGTGACGTATGTGGTGCTTTTGCTCTGGCCGGACAATTTTTTTGGTGCTTGAAATGAACCGGATTCCGGAGCTAAGAGGCTGCTCCGCTGCGGTGTGAACAGGAAAACCCGGTGCTTTTCAAGCTCCAGCTCTGAACCGGCCCTGAAACACCGTTGGTGTGAATGAGGTATTAGTTTCGCCAACTCGTTTCTAATATGCAAAAATACACACAAATGCGTCTATAATAATAATAATAATAATACATTGCATTTCAAGGCGCTTTTCCAGGTGCTCAAAGACGCTTTACAGTGGTGATAAAACATGATAAAATAGAATTTAAAAGTTATTAAAACAAGATAAAATAACACTTAAAAGTTATTAAAACAGCAATACAGCATAATTCACAGATTAAAACCCAGTCTGAAGAGGTGTGTTTTGGTCAGTGTTTTGAAAGTGGGGGGGTCAGTGCAGTCTCTGATGTGTTGTGGGAGGGAGTTCCAGAGGGTGGGGGCAGCGATGGAGAAGGCTCTATCCCCCCAGGTTCGGAGCTTGGTTTTCTTGGGGATAGAGAGGAGGTTCGCTTCTGATGAGCGAAGGCTGCGGGAAGGGGTGTAGTGGTGGATCAGGTCGGAGAGGTAGGGGGGAGCCTGGTTATTGAGAGCTTTGTGTGTTCGCAGAAGGATTAGTCTATGATGTATTTTCGATCTTTCCAATCCGGAAGAGAGATCTTTCTCTCCCCCGTCTGTGTGCGAGGGGGCGGGGCAGTTTACACACACACGGCTGCTAAATTTATGCAACACACTGCGAAGATGGCGGAGAGAACGCGCTCCGAGGTGTGGTTAAACTTTACGCGTCTGGATCTATGGTCTCGATGTGGACAATGCTCGTTACCTAAAGTGCAATAAGAGTTTAGCATGTAAGGGCGGTAACACGAGCAATTTGTCTAAACATTTAGCAAAAGTGCACCACATTCAGACGGAGAAAGCCCTGTAGCCCCATCCGCGAGTAACTTTTCAGGTGTTATGTATGCTCGCAGCAACACACGGAGTTAACTCAATTATACAAACATGGGTTAATGATTAGAGGTAACTGAGTTATTTATTTTGTTAAAGTTTCAGCTATTCTGTTTACAATTCTGTCATCACATTATTTAATACGATTTGTTAAAACACTGTTGTTTCTTTTGATGTGAAATATTATTTATTTACTTTAAATAAAAAGCAATGTTAATTTTGTTCAAAATGTGTTTAGTTCATTTAATAATATATGTATTTTTGAATCAAGTATTCATCTTTATTGTCGTCATTGTTAGTTTCCACATGCCTAAAACAACCTCAAGCTAAATCTAAAAGTTGATAAGCTAAATAAGAGCGTTTGAGAAATTGTGCAAGGCATAATAGTCCGAATAGTCGATTAATCGTTTCATTAATCGATAGATTAATCGATTATCAAATTAGTCGTTTGTTGCAGCCCTAGTGACGGAGCTTTTTTTACTTTTGCACAACACTATTCAACAGTCCGGTTAAATCCATTCTGCTTCCTTCTTTAGCTAGAGATTTTGAAGACCTCCACGTTCTTGTGTACCTTTTTCAAAAGTTGAGAAATGTTCTCTTCTGTCCAGATATCCAGAAGGCATCTGTGTTCTTTGTAGCTCCGCGTTTGTCCCCTGCCACTCATTTTGTTAGCCACAACTTGCTAACTTCTCCTCCGGTAACCAGAACAGGAAATTACGCGTAAATACTCCGCTTCCTATGCTTTGGTGCGGACTGCATTCACACCAGCGATGAACCGCTCCAGAGTTCACTAGCAAGCGCTCACCACCTCTTTTAGCCGGACGAGAGTCTGGTTGTTTAGTTCGCATCAGAGGTCTCGGACTGCGTCCAAACGAACCGCGGCGAGGGGTTAAACGTTCCAGGGTTCGAGTAAATCGTACTTAACAAGGCTGGTGTGAGTGCGACCTTAAAGACTTAAAAATCAATCCTCTTTATAGTCAAATTAACTAATTCTCAAAACCTTTTAAAGCAACAATAAGTTGGAATCTTTGTTTACTTACTTTTAAATTACGTTGTTTATTTCTTAATAACAATTGTCTAATAGTGAAATGATGTAACACTGAAAGCCATTAGGCCACCCTCATTAGGTGGACCCGGCCTCTTTCTTCTTAACCTTCAGCTCCATGTCACTCATTTGCTGTGATATACACAGTGTCACAGGTCCTATTCTGCAGTAATTGGTCATGGAACATGTTGGACTGATTTTCCAACTGGACAGGTGGACTCCATGCAGCTGGCTCGGCCCTCGTCCGTACAAATGCTTCCTGTATGCAGCGCTCTCTGACGGCTTGGATGTGACTCGGCTGGCGCGCACAGTGGGAATGAAAGAAAACTGGCTGTTAGTTGAATGTTTCCCCAGGCTTTAAGTCAGGTTCAGTCTCCCCTATTAATGAGCCTCCCACATCATTAATAAAGGACCAGTCAACAGCCCCAACCAGTCACAGCTGGCCCAGTCTTCGGCCCCTCTCAGGGACCCAGTTAGAGGCTGCATAGAGGATGTTTGTTTACTTCTCTTTGAGGCTGCTTTAAAAATCCAAACAACCAGTTGTATGTTTCATTTAAGTATTGATTGCATGTCTACCATAACAACATATTCATTTGTTAGTGTCTTAAAAAATTAAATGACTTATATTCACCATAAAACAATTATTACAAAACTCTTAAGTTCCATTATCCTATTTAGTTCCCCAGAAACAATAAAATGTTCCAAATGTGTGGCATTGGTGCGCAATTTCCTGAGTACAGTACAAAATTATATTAAAAAAAACTCTTAACTTTTTTATTTAATATTCTATATTTCTGATCAAACTTCTATTGTGACAATATTGTTGGGTTTAATACTGAATCTTTAATTAAATATTTAAGCGATAATGAATATGTGTTGATTTAATGAGGAAATGTAAGCAAAAAATAATAAAACGGGCAGTTAAAATATTGTAAAAATGTAAAAACAATGACATCCTTTTACTGTAATGCATCCCTTAAAACCAGTTAAAGACACATGCACTATCTTGATTTAAAAGCTGAGACGATATCGCTCATATCATGATATTGGTATAGTATCCATACATTTCCCAGCCCTATAGAGTGGCGAAGTCCCTCCCCTTCCGGGGGAGCTCCATGGGACCTTATTTCGGAAAAATTATGTATTGAAGTCAATGGAGAGAGAAAACGTATCTTTCGATCCCGTTTGAATTGTGCCACGAATTACACATATGATGTTTGTCAATTTAAAAGATAATTTTGCAAGTCAAAAAAATAAAAATGTGTCATAAAACTGTGAAGTAACACATTTTTTTTGTGTGAAACGCTCAATGAACTACATCTCTGGTCTCGCAGACTCTCACAACAACACACGTCACCGAGATGGCCGTCACTACTGTCTTGTCAAAAAAGTGATTGACTACCCTCACTATCAACCCAATGAAACACGTCCAGAAGAATGTCATGCAAAGCTACCTGCCTGCCTTCCATTGATTCTCTCTGAACTGGCTGATCTTTTTAATGTTTAATGTCAACCATTTGTGCAGATAGCATGACGTAGAAAAGATCGCCAGTGCTAATGTAGCGTTAGCGTTAGCATTTCTCCCCCGGGCTTAAATGGTGTATTATAGAATGATCACACCGGTGTGACGGTACTCTTCAAAGGGTTCACGAAATATGACTACTAGTCTTACTGTTTAACATTTTGGGTTACTTGATGTTACTTCATGTTAAGGCTAATAAAAATGACAAGGCTAAGACTGTAATGCTAACTAACGTGCTTGCTACTAGCTAGGTAGCTAACTTGATCCAGCCAGCCACTCCTGGTCCTTTCATCAGGCGGGAAGCGAAAGAACGAGCAAGACCCATTGCTGGTATGATAATAACCTGGTACTAAGCACACAGGCATCTTGTTAAAGTTATCTTATCTTAGCTATCTCTTATATTTAGCGGAGGAAAACAATTGTGACATCAATACATTATTTTTCCGAAATAAGGTCCCATGGACCGGAAGTCAATGGAGAGAGAGAACTTATCTTTCGATCCCGTTTGAATTGTGCCATGAATTTGTCAATCTTAAAAAAAATAATTTCCATGTCAAAAAAGTCACAGTTTGTCGTAAAACTGTTGAAATATAAGACTGAAAAATACGCAACTAGAAAGACTACAAATCCCAGAGTTGCGTAAGTGATGTCACAATTGTTTTCCTCCACTATGAGATAGCTAAGATCAGCGCCATATAGATATAATCTATCTATATGGCGCTGGCTAAGATAAGATAACTTTAACAAGACCAGCAATGGGTCTTGCTCGTCTTGCTCGTTCTTTTGCTTCCCGTCTGATGAAAGGACCAGGATCAAGTTAGCTACCTAGCTAGCACGTTAGTTAGCATTACAGCCTTGTCATTTTTATTATCCTTAATATGAAGTAACATTAAGTAACCCAAAATGGGTAGTCAATCGTTTTGTTGACAAGACAGTAATGACGGCCATCTTGGTGACGTGTGTTGTTCTGCGAGGCCAGAGATGTAGTTCATTGAGCGCTTCACACAAACAAATATGTTACTTCACAGTTGTACGACACATTTTTTTTTACTTGCAAAATTATCTTTTAAATTGACAAACATCATATATGTAATTCGTGGCACAATTCAAACGGGATCGAAAGATAATCTTTCTCTCTCCATTGACTTCAATACATACATTTGTAGAAATAAGGTCCCATGGAGGTCCAGCGGAAGGGGAGGGACTTCGTCACTCTATTGGGAAGCAGGAACTTGCACATCAGAACATTTCTGAAAAATATATGTTAATTAACATGAGAGATATTTTCAGAGTTTTCCTTTTAACCACTTTCTCCTTTTTTTCAGACGGTGAGTCGTCACTTCAGGAATATCCCGGTGAACGAGAAGGAGACGCTGACCTACTTTATTTACATGGTGAAGAGCAGCAAGAGCCGCTTGGACCAGAAAGGCGACGGCGGGAAACCGCTGGACTAAACATCGCAACACAAAGCACAGTAGCTACAACGAAACCATCAATAATCCACAGCTATTTCAAAAACCCGGACACCACTAACGGCAACAACAACTGCAACCCTGCACCGTCCTCTCCTCTGTAAAGACAGACTCTTGTCGTCCTCAGAGGACATCTCACTGAATTGGAGGAGAATTCAGGGTGGGATGAGATATCTCTTGCTTATTATGCCCTTTTCATATAAAAATTGTCTCTGCGCATGTTGTCACAATAGTCATTTCCTCTCCCTCTTCTCCGAAAAAAGCCAGACTGAGGTCCCGGGACTCACTCCACAGGGTTTTTATGTTGTCATGCTGTAATGTAATCTGTCAATATGTACAAAAGAACAGCGTCCAATCTTAAGTAAGTTGGTTGACTGCAAAGTACAATATAGCTGCCTTAAGAGTAAAAAAAACGAAACGTGTTTCTGTAAATTTGGGGGAATCTTTCTTTGCCGAGTAGACTGTTAACACTTTCACAGAGAGGAATGCTTGTGCCAAACAGAAACGTTTGTTGGAATTGAATGATGTTGAGTGGGATTTATTTTTCTTAATTTTTTTAAACGTGAATGAATGAATTGTTGGAAAGGGGCTCTGCCTTTGCTGAAGTTACATCCAGGGATCAGGGTCAGTTTAACCAGATCAAGAATTCTTGATTCTCAATAATGTCTAAAAGAAAGAAGCTGATCTCAGTCCTACATTTTAATCTTTATTTGCCCTTTTCCAACTGGATGTGATGCATATGAAGACCGATGGTGGTGAATGATGTAACATTTAGCTATGACCCACTCTTCTCCTTATTGCTAGCTGTTTAATGTACTTAACAACACAAACATCACAGGTGTTGGTAGCTTATTTTTTTTCTTTGTAACCCAGTTTTCTACTAAATGTTTTAGTTCAGCCTCAAGTTGTATAAAGTCTATGTGGATATAATTTAGAATTGTTTTGTCCCATCTTTCTTTTCCACCAGAAGTGGAACTTTTGTGTGTGTGAGAGATAGGGGTCTAAGAGTAATTATTTGCACCATTTTAATATTTAAGAGCAGTGTTTATATTGGACTGAAGCCTTGATTTGATACTTAAAATACCCAGATGCATTTAAAAAAGTGGGTTTTCCCTTTGCCTTTTTAAATAATTAATTACATGTATCAACAAAAAAAAGATATTGATGCGTGCCTTCCATATTGCAGCAAAAATCTAAATGTCAGTAGAAGTTGGCTAATGAGGTCTTAAAAAAAAATCTTGGCAATTATTAAATTCAGGTAATGGATTCACTGTTTGATGAATCGTCATTTTTTGGATCGTATTTGTCAATAATATTGAGCCAAAACTGTTATGGGGAAAGTAGCCTTTGGCAGGTAGCCACTTGTGTCACCTGTTGCAACATTTGGTGTGATCTAAAACTGCTCAAAAACTAAATTGCATGTATATTCCTAACTCACAGCTAACACATCTAGACAATTGACAACTATATGGGTTTTTGCATCTTCCCACAACAACTCTTCTACATGTCCAATTATTTGTTGTTGTTTTCATTGTGGTGACTACATTGTACACACAGTTTGGGATTTCTGTATGGATTTTTTAATCAGTTTGCATCCTCTGTCACACATCTTATTTAAGGTTGTTCACCAACTGAGTTGTCCTTTCAACAAAGGTTTATATTTTTATTTCGGTGTCTGTTATATTTTCAGTTCTGCTTGTAGGTTTTAGTGTCATGTAGATAACACCCAACTTTAACATATAGGCCATGCCACATTAACCTTACTGTTGTGTTAGAAAAAATCATATTTAAATATGGCTGCTTATTGCTCCTTATAATAATAAATGTATTGTACAGATAGAAACAACGGTCTTGTCTCTGTTCATTCATACTGCTCAAATGTTGTATATATTTCAGCTGATTTTACAATACGTTATGTCAACACCCAATTAATACCATGAAAATGATATCTGTACCTTTTCAAATTAAACATGAAGAATGTCCAGGTTGGATTTGTTTCAGGAACTGCCATCGATCACCACTAGGTGTCGCTACATACCCATATATTAGTTGGAGGGGAAGAGAGAAGGGAGCTTTAAACACCCAGAAACCTTAGGAGACTCCAAAATCAACCCAAAGGCAGCAACAAAATACATTTTTAAGAGTAGATGAAACTTGTTAGGCGGAAAAACTTGTTTGTTGGTGTATTGTTAAATTATATATCACAAAAATATAAAAAACTGAAATTACTATGGAAGAGTCTAGAAGACTGCAGACCACCGGGTGCCTTTGAGCCAATAAATACAACTTTTTGCAATCCAGCCTTTGTCAATTGTAAATGTGGATTTACAGAATAAATGTTGCAAATTACTAATCGTCACTGGAGAAATTATGTTCTGTCATTAAAAAAGTGTATCAAATTATACATGTAGAATACAAATGTTGAGGTTAAGGCACTGGCAAATGAGATTACAGTCCTTACGTCTTTTATTTTAATTTAATTTTTGTCATATTTTGTTAGACTGACCGGTGGATTGGTCAAGGCCATAAGTAAGGAGGTCGAGAAACGACATAATGCCCACATTTGGGCATTTATTTAGAATGAATAACATGTAGTAGCCTACTCTGCAGCCATACCCTCACTCACTGCCACCTGCACTGCCTGGCACAAATGACACTTTTACAGCCAGAGCCACCCTAAGGTGCTATCTAGATAGGGCCTCAGACCGGTTTTACATAGAATACTGAAACAATATAAATATATAAACAACTATCAATGATTTATTTACAACATAGCTACTAAACATACATCTAACCAGTGGTGGAATGTAACTAACTTTACTCAAGTATACTCTACATTTAGCTACTTTATACTTTTACTCCACCACAGTTTGTAGGCAAATGTGTTACTTTGTATTCACTTCATGTATTTTACAGATTAAGGTACTATGACTTGGCAGTTTTAAATAATAAGATACAAATATAATTAGAATATAAAATCTCTAATATATTATTGTATTTTATTATAGATTAAGCTAGCCAGTGTGTGTTTAAAATAATTAAAATAAACCCACCTTTAGGCTACCAAGTCCAACATTGAAGTTATGATCACATTAATACATGAATACTAAAATGATGGTGCTTATTGGTGCATGACGAGTACTTTTTCTAAAAGTAGGCCTATATTTTGATGCTAATATACTTTTGTACTTTTGCGTATATGTACCATTTTGAATGCAGGACTTTGACTTGCAACCGAGTATTTCTACACTGTAGTATTGCTACTTATCATCTGGGTAGTCTACTTCTTCCACCACTAGCCTATGTATTAACTCCAGAATGAACCCCCTCCGGAACGATAAATAAGTGTTGGTTTCACCGCGGAAACGTTTGTTCGCGCACGGAATTCAACACAGGAGAGCTCAGGGAAGTGTGGTTTACCTGATACGCTCTTAATAATGTATCCATACACCTTTACATGAACGCTTTCAAAACTGCATAAGAGACGTATGCTGTTCATTCATAATATGTTATTTAATGTATTGATTGATCCATGGAAAGATCTACAATATATATGAAGTCATTCCACCCGTGTCTATAAAACATCATGATTTCAAGTGGCCTGCAAACATTAAACCAATCCAAAGAGGTTCTTGACGCAACATCTGCTTGTTATATCCCATTATTGTGCCAAATATGTTAAAATATGCTAAAATGGCCTACTGTGTAAGGATCCTGCAAGGATATAGGCTACTGCAAAAATAAAGGTGGGCCCATAATGAAACTCATTAACAACATAAAAGTCTCAATACGTAAAGTTTTCAGACTTGTGAATTTGTTAAGCATTTACATAGTCCATTTGTATTTTAAATAATAATGTAACCAAGTGGTTTTTATTTGGTTAATTCCAGAGCAATTCCTGATCCATTGTTTCCGATGATTCCGTAACGGCAAGAAAACGAGGACATTGTTTGGTTATTGGTGTGTAGTATACTGTTTGTTGAATATTAGGCCTACATTAATTAATTATATAAGTGAAACACATTGGTCATAGCTGAAGTGACTTAAAATAATTCATTTATTTACGGAACAATATATAACTTCACATCCAATGTACATTTCAATCAACATGTCGCACAGAAATAAACCTTTTTTTTTTTTTTTTAGTGTTTGTCGGAGTGAAAGCTGTGCGTTAACGGAACATTCTGTGTCTCAGGACGGACAGTGACATTAATTTTGAGGTAGATTCAGTCAATTCAATAATGTTCAACAAGAAACATCAACAACAGCCGGAAAAGTGTAGGCTACATTCAAGACTCCATGTGAGTTTGTCTGTAACATATCTAACCGGAAATACTTGATTAATAATACTGTAAATATTCTGACTGCCAAATTCAGAGGGAAGAAACAGTGACAAAAAATAAAAAAGATTCCCCAAACAAATGTGTTTCCTCTGGGCTCGGCTCCCACCAGGACTTTAAATGTTTTCGATATTTCTTTTTTTCATATCCGTTTTACACGATATCTTACAACAAGGCCTGCCTGGGTTTTAATGAGTTTATCCGTTAATTCATAGATGTTTTATAGTTGAATGGGTTAAACAGTTTGTGTGATTTAACACCACGTCAGTTTGAATGTGAACCGTTAAAAACTGTTCTACTGAGCATTGTAATACAATGACACTAAATCCGATTTGTATCAAATGTTTTGATAGCTTGAATATTTCTACTAAAGGCTGGCATCACGGAGCAAAACAAATAAAGTAGTATATGCCAGAATATTCTTTCAAAGTTATAATTATAGGCAAAGTATTATAAGATAATTGGGTTTATAAGTAACTGCTTTGTTATTGCACAAAAACTCTGCCGTGCGGCTCGTGTGACTAATTTGTCATAAATTACGAAGAATTTCAGGCAGAAAAAACCTAGCTGAACCCAAATAAGTGTACAAAATATTTGTGGGTTACTCTGTAATGCTGTTCCTATCCGACCTCATCTTACATTTACTCCATTTGTTCTGTTTATGTTCTGCTTTACGTCCTCATGTGTAAAACAGCACCACTCAAGACACCAGATAAAAACACATTTTTCCGGGGAGACAGATGTGTTTTGACACCGTGGCAACATCTGGTCTACAGTACAAACATCAAAAAACAGAAATACCACAAATATCAAATACCTACAGTCAGAATTGTCTGTGGAGTGAACCACACCGGGAGAGAGAATATCAACAGAGTGTCCATGGTGCTCTCCTCCTCACCTTGTTAGCATGTTGTCCTTTAATTCTCTCATTTTGTGCTTCATTGCACTTGCACAGCGGTGTGTTTAGGTTCAGTCAGGCAGTGGTTTTTATCTGATTTGAATCCAGAGTCTCGGGGTGTTTTAGGGGGGTGTGAGTGGAGGAGGGGGGGGGGGGTCACTGGTTGAGCTCCAGAGCCCAGACCTGCTGCGGCCACCCGGTCCGGCCCTTCGCCTTCTTCTCGGCTCCTAATGCCTCCTGCAGCCCGTCAGGCTGTACCAGCAACAATACAAAATGAAAAGACACATTATTAGCTACCATCAGAGAGCAAGGCTCAAATGTAGCCTACTAACTTCAGATTAAGCGAACATTTTTAAAGAGAGTCAATATTGCTTATTTCTCTACCCATGTTGGTCCTATTTATAATTTAGGTTTACCTTAGAAAGTTTAAATACACTGAAAAACCTACTAAATTATCATACATGCTGTTTTTCGTCACATGCATGTATGCTTCAGTGACGCAGTTGGGGCCATTACAGGCTAATTATTTAGGTTTAACTTAGCCTACATTAACTTAAATAATTCTACAAATAGGTAACAATATCACGCTATGTAATCTGTATATGCAGGTTTTAAATGTATATAAACAAAGATATTATTTAAAGCAGAATGTGAGTGTTATATAAAATATTGGACTATTTATTGTTAACTATAATTTAATGCAGACAAAAACGATATATGGTGAGCAGTATAGCTACAGATAGTTGGAAAAGTAGTATAATATTGTTACTGCTACATTACAGTCAACATGTGACTTAGTGATACCAATTTGAATAAAGCTATAAACGTTTAATCATCATGCTTATATTCTATAGAGTCTACAGCTGCAGCTTCTTTGATGAGCCTAACTCTCGCGTTATTATAGTGAAGCATAATCGAAAAATAAATACTAGAAATAGGCTGCACTGCAAATTCTTATTTTGGATGTATTTGCTAGAATACAATTCAATAACCATTTTGATTGGAATTTTATTTTTTATTTAGATGATAATCAGACTCGAAAAGCAAAAATCGTAGTCACTTATGTTTTTAAACCCTGTGGTGTCGTCTAATAAATCAGAGCCTATGCTTCAATTTCTGCGTAAAATATAGTTGTTTCTATTTTAACCAATTGTTTTTTACATTTACTTAGAAACCATACTTGCTGATCTGTTTTTTCGGAATGAACTAATTTTGATAGCCATGATACACACACTCATAACTTACCTGATCACGTTTCCTCTTTAGATCCCGGTTTTCAAATTTCTTAATTTCGGCCTTAAAGCCCTCGGTCTCCCCGGTGTCTTTGGCCAGGACGTCCATCAGGTAGGCGATGTAACTGGTGGCCAGGCGTAAAGTTTTAATTTTCGACAGTTTAGTGTCCGCCGGGACGTTTGGGATGCACTCCCTGAGCTCGGAGAAAGCTGTGTTGATGCTCTCCGTCCGCCGGCGCTCCTTCTTCGGCCCCGACGTTCTCCTCTTCCCCATCCCCGCCTGGAGCCCCTCCAGCCGGGCGTCATGCGTCGTTCCGGGTGCTCCGTGCTCCGCGGCCGGGTAGGGGGTCTGGATCTGGAAGTCCGGGGGCATCTC